TGGAGCGGTGGGAGTAAAAAAGAAAAAAAAAATAGTGTGGTGTGCAATATAGTGAAAAGGAAAGTGTAAAATTATACAGCAATGAATGCAGAATGGCACCGACTATAGAGGACTACAAATCCCAGCAATAGTACATTATACAGAGCAATGCAGAATTTCACCAGCTATAGAGGACTACAACAAATCTCAGCAATAGTACATTATAGCTGGCGGTATTCTGCATTGCGCTGTATAATGTACTGTTGCTGGGTTTTGTAGCCCTCTATAGCTGGTGGTATTCTGCATTGCACCACTGTATAATGTATTATTGCTGGGATTTGTTTTACCCCTCTATAGCTGGTGGTATTCCGCATTGCGCTGTATAATGTATTATTCCTTGATTTGTAGTCCTCTATACAGTACAGTGCAGAATATCACCAGCTATATACCAGGGATACAACAAATCCCAGCAATACATTATACATACAGTGTATAATGTATTGCTGGGATTTGTATTCCTCTATAGCTGATGGTACATTGCGCTGTATAATATACAGCACAATGTACCATCAGCTATAGAGGAATACAAATCCCAGCAATACATTATAGAGCACCATGTGTGGGAAAGTGCAGGCTTACCTGAGCAGTCTTCCAGCAACTTGCTTCTGAGATCGGACCTCTCTATCAGCAGCTGTCTTCCCCCCACACCTGCACCTCCTTACTACATCTCCCCGCGTCCCTGTGCCGATCGGCGGTGAATGTGAGGCGGGGAGGAGGTGCGGCGTAAAGAGCGTGGATGCAGGCGGGTCTGGCAGCGGCGAGTGTGAGGTGGGGAGGAGGTGCGGCGCACAGTGTGTGTGGAGCCGTGAACAGGGCCAACTGATCGGAAGCCGATTAATCGATTATTGAAAAAGTTGACAACTTTTTCAATAATCGATTATAATCGATTATGTCGATTAGTTGTTGCAGCCCTACTGACAGCCTGATATTTTCGAATGGAAAAAGAGATTTCCCAACACCTATAGCAACACTACTAATATTTAGAGCAGCGTTCCTGACCTTTTTCACTCGAGGTATCCTTTAAAAGTATACAAAATCTCAAAGCGGCCCACACTAAAACGTAAAAACCCGTAAATGTAAAAGAAACGACATGTTGTCTGTCCTAAATCCATACCAGAGCCTGACCGGAGACAGGGGTCTGGTATGAATTTTATGGGGGAACCCCATGCAAATATAAAAAAAAAAACTCTTTTCACATCAGTCGTCCTATTTTACATCAGGAGCCCTCTTCACACCAGAGGCAGGTCACAGCGTAAAAATTTCAAGCCACCCCTGTGGGAAGCTGGCCATACACTGCCATTGTTCCCATTCAACCCGCAGGCTGAACATAAGAGAATAGAGCAGATTTGTTCCATCAACACTACAAGCGCGTTGATCGAGGAATCTCCGCTGTTTCTTTTGTATTCCGATGGCAGCCGCTGCCAGAATTCACGAACAGTGGCGGCAGCTCGTTGTCTGTCAGCTCTGATCGTAGGAAACTTTTCTGACTGGCTCCTTCGATCAGCTGATTAAATGATGCCAGCCGAAAGTGTGCCAACCGTAGCACCCACTGTGCGAATTTCAGCTACTTCAAGAACCAGATGAAATTCGCACAGTGCATGGCCACCAGAAGCCAGAGGACACCCTGGCTGAGAAGGCTGGTTGTTGCCCAACCTGAACCCTGAATGATCAATCTGCAGGACAATTGTAACACATAGATGCAAGAAATACTCATCCCAAATGATCCCTCTACCCTGATGGTCAGGTGGGGTGTCTAGCCAAATGTCATCTCTATACAAAGTTACACAGAAAACACATCCCTAGACAAATAATAATGCAGGTTTTCTGAACTACAAGACTCAGCACTGCAGTGAACAGCAAGCAGTTCAAAGGCAATGACAATGCATCAAAAAGAAAATACACATTGGAGCATATTCACTTAGTTTGATGAACGTAGTGTCAAATCACTTGGCAAACAATACCCAAATCACATGGAAGGAAAACTGAAGACAATATTTTTGTTTGCACATGATGGAAGTCAGCAGAGCTTCACCTCATTTACTATTCTAAGGGGAAAATTCCCTATACCGAGTGAACAGACCATTAGAAAAAGCAACCCCGTTATAGACAAACTGTAATGTTGGTGCGCATAAAGACCAGGGGTAGGCAACTTTGGCACTCCAGCTGTTCCAATGAAGCATTGCAAGACTGACAGCCACATACATGACTCCCAGAAGAACAGCATGATAGGAATTGTAGTTTCACCACAGCTGGAGTGCCAAGGTTGCCTTCCCCTGATTTATACTGCAATAGCACAGGTACTAGATCCACCAAAAATCAGAATGCTATCCCACAGGAGATACAAGAATAGTGGCTACAGAATCATCAAACAATGGTATACTGAGGATTGTTACCAACAAATGCAAACAAACAGATTTTCATACTGTTTCACATATGCTGGAACAATTGCCACAGATCCTCTACACATGGGAGTACCGACTGCCCCAACACACTGAACAACTCCCACCGTGCACAGACATACTGTGGTTGCAGCAATGGGAAAGCACAGGTGGACGAATATATATGCATGTCTCTGTTCCGTGGTGTTTCATACGACGTGGTGAACAGACATGACAATGTTTGGTATCTCGGGAGATGTAACTCACAAGAAAATATGAAGAGCAGTCGTATTATCCGAGATGATTCAATGCCCGCGGGTAGTGTGTCCTGTGCATTACAGCTTTATTAGCATCTTCTGTTATTCCATCTGTTGTAGAGTTGGCATGACGAAACTTTGAATCCAGAGCGCATTTATAAATATAGCGGCAGCACACTCATAAGTGGATATTACAATTTGTATCAGCATTCCAATCTAAACCATGGCAAAGAGATCCCATTTACTCAGACACATCCTAAAACAAGACCTGCAAAGGCAGTACCAAGTTCAAACTCCCGCTAAATAACCAATCACAGGACCATGGGAGTAAGACATTCAAGTTTTTTTGGTGCTCATGATGGAATGTAAACGTCTTCTGCACATTCCCAAATCCATAGAATAGGTAAAAGCATCCTGTTCATGCCAACGTACACCAACCTAGTCATGTCCCAGACTTGCAGTCTCTAAAAAGAGCGTAAACTTATTTTCCTCTATATACATAACATAAGCGCCTTCTTCTATGCAATGTTGAACAACAAATCCCAGCTTGCCTCACTCTGTGCTGGGAACATGTCAGCTCAGAGTCTTCAATTAGCCAAATACAGATGAGATCCCAGAGGGTATCCTGCCCACCTCCTTTGGACGCAGGGCAAACAATTTGAAATATATGGCCAGCACCCACTGAAAGTGGGAGGGCCACCAGAGGTGACAACATTAATAACTTCCCTCTTCAACTTGCATGGTGACAAAATAAACCAGGACACAACATTGAAGTCAGTTTACACTGCCATTCAGCATTGCTAAGCTATGGGACAGGAAGGGAGATGAACTGGAGCAACAGGTGTTTAATATCTATATATCTATATATCTCTCATTAAAAAAAAATTATCTCTAGGAAAAACCTTTGTTAGTTTTGGATAGAGCTGAAAAGGCTTACACCCTCTGTCAAGTTTTTATGGCCGTTTGTATCCCCATTGGAGGGATCCCCCTATTTACGATGGTGACCAACGTCACTGAGAATAAAAACAAGAGGAAATCCAACATTTTAGACTTGACCCCAGAACACAAGGTGAAGGGAAATCTTCCAATGGGGTACACCTGTCCAAGAGGGGAACAACTCTGTTTGGGAGCTTTCTTCCAACTTCCTGTTCAGCGCCTGGAATAGGAAGTGATGTTTCCCCAATGGTACACAGACAAACTGGCAGGGATTTCTCACTACTTTAGCCAACACTATATAAAACAAAAACATTTTGGCGGCACATACATTTTAGGTTTAAGGCCTCATTCACATGATTGTGCACAGATGTACTACAGATATGCAAGTCTGGGACAGCGTGTAGCCGTGTCCTGTCATGGAGTTGTACAAGCAGCTGCATGCACCAGCTGTCACTCCTGGGCGCAGGTTACTGCAGGGACATACACGTTCGTGTGAATGAGGCCTAAAGAAGAACTCCCCCCCCCACAGGTCTATTTTTGTTGTTGTCCCATTCCCCTCCAGCTTTGTTCTGCAGTAATCTGTCATTCCACTGTTGCACACCTGCTCCTGTGCTGCCATTTTCTCATCATTTGGGAGAAAGCCATCAATTCCTGGTTCTTGCAGCAGACACTCATGATGTGCCACGATGTACCCATATTTTCTGCAAATTGCCCGAAACGCCCCCCGCCCCCCAAGGACGTGTGAAGTGAGAAGAAGTGAGACCCCATTAGGACAGAATAACACATAAGTGGCCCGTTGGCTTAGATGCCCAACTACTGCATTTACATGCCGCTGTTTTTTTGTTATTGCGTATAACTGAACTATACAAAACAAGAAGCCTGTGGTACCCCACTAGGGTAAAATGGCACCCTGCTATGCCACCTTTCCCAACGCTCACTTGAGAGTCATACCTCTGGTTTTGTTACCTGGCATGCCACCCTGTGCCCCCAGCATTCACACCACACACAATGGCAGAAGTACCAGCAATATCTCAACTATTGCGTCCAGGTGTTTGCAGGTAAGTGCAACTCGTAGAGGACTCAGGGGCATGTCTCTCAGGGAAGATGACACCCAATTATGTCCACAGAGGGGCACAGGGCACGCATTAGGTCCACCACCCAGGGGCAATGGCATACCATGTACATCCCTATGATGTCAGGGCCCCTTTAAGACAGCATAGTGTAGCCATTGGCCTACACTGCAGCAAGAGATTCTCGAAATCGGCTAGCGATCTCCTGAGCAGGGCCGGAGAGTGCTGAGGCCTCCATGAAGCCGAGGCCTGACGGCTCAAGCTTGTGACGACTTGTCACAGGGTACACGTACATCGCACGGTGTAAACAGAGGACCTACCAGTGGCAGCAGCTCGCTCACAGCTTCGCCGCTTCTTCTCCTCCTTCCTCGGCCGCCTCCAGTCTCCTCATACGAGTGAGCAGGAAGTACCAGCCGCCTTATTAATCCCACTTCCGGTTTACGCTTCCTCCCCTCCCTCCGCGGGCGGACGTAGCCTTGAAAACGCAAAATCACCCAGTGGCCCCGCCCACTCCACGTCCAACCGTACACGCTGAACGTCACCACGTCCGACCACGCCCACGACCGTGGTCCAAAGACCCGCCTTCTTCTCGCACAAAACCAGCTTGCGTCACACGAATCTTCCCGCCCCGCTTCTCACCTCCCACCTCGGCTTTCGTTACTGCTCACGTCACTAAGAAAGTCCCCTCCATAGGGCTAACCAGGTGTCCCCGCCCCTTTCAGTGACGTCCAGCGCGTGAAGCAAACAAGGGGGTGTGACAGAGCGACACGTGGGAGAATAGGGGCGGGACGTGTGCCAGCAAGTGGCGCGCTGGCGCCATTTTGAGCAATGGCAAGAACCTTATATAGTCAGTTTGTGAGAGGACTTTTATACAAACGTAAAGACGGATAGTGTTTCAAAAATAAAAGGCACACAAAAAGGATTAAATCTCATTTGAAATCTATGTTTAAGTTTGCTAATTACATTTAAGTGCATGAAAATGAAAGGTGTGCAAAGTTGTACAGTTCACTGTCTTAATAAAGCAGCTAAGGGAACTTGTCCTATATCAGCATGCTGCAGATGAGAACCTTTGGGGTCTGTGGGAAAGCAGTGGTCTCTCTGCAGAGGTTCAGCACTTCCCCTGCAGAGATGGCTGATGCTATAACTATAGGTCTGCTTCAGCGAGGGTGTTTTAGACCCCTATAGAGAGACCACTGCTTCCCCAGAGATAGCCAAGGTTTGCAAGTGTACAACTCAAATTTACTATATTGGAACTGCTGGTGTCCTAGCAACAAAGGGCACTAGGTTACAGAAGTGTCCTAGCTTTCTTTGGTAGCGCTCACCCCTGAAGGAGCCGCTCAATGCCCGATTCATCTCTAGTATGTCTAGCTGCCCACTCATTAGCACTAACCGCCTTTCTTCTAGTGCCCACAAACTGACGTCCACTCCAGTAGTATAATGCTGAATAACTTTTATTGAACATCTTCACTGGGGAGAGAGGGTATAGGGATTCTAAGCGTTCAGGGTGTAACAGACATAGACTCCAGACTCACCAGACCTGGGTGGCATATCAGTGTAGATGCCCTTGGGAGGCATCGGATAGCAACTGAAGTAGCAGATGAGCAGGATGGATACACATCCTCAACAGGAAAGATGCCGGCTCTACTCCTGAAGTCCTCAGGTTCCAGGAAACTTCAAGAGCCATCATTGGTCCTGGGTCTCTTCCTCTCCAGCAACACAGACCTCCTCCATGTTGGAGGCTTCAGGGAAACGTTTCCCTCACAGCAGCCTATGCCCACCCTCAGGCCTAGCCTGGAGGGCAGGCTGAAAAGCATCCAGCCCTAATCCATGGCTGGTCCCGGCTAGTCTGAGCACATGGCAAATCCCTCCAGTATATGTTCCTTATCCCAGCATGCACCACTGGTTGAGAGAAACCCAGCGATTGGCTGCTGTACTGTACATCAGGCCTCAAAATTTCCACTCGTCCTCTCGCAATTGGCGAGTGAAAATTGTGTGGGGGTGAGTGGAATGTCATCGAGGGGGTGCGTCGACGGCGGTACCAGGGATGGGACACTACCGCCACGGTGATCGTTAGCGTCTCTTCTCTATAGCTGCAGCTACAGAGCGGCCGAGGAGGAGCAGAGAGAATAGAAGCAAACGATCGCCACGGCGGTGGTATCCCATCCCTGGTCCCGCCGGCGGCGCACCTCAATGACATTCAGTTTCACTGTCTTCCCTGCGATTGTCTTCTGCAGCTTCCTCCGCCCACCTCAGCTGCCATAGGCTGGGAGGAAGACTGCAGAGACAGTGAGACACCCGGCCAGAAATGTATGCAGCGCGGGAAAAGAAAGTTTTATCTCCCTACATTCAGGATCTCTGTACCGCCCCACCACCACAATCACCAGGAGAAAGAAGAGGGCACCTGAATACCATCAGCTAAGTGCACTGTAAGTCCCTTTTCTTTCTTCCTCACACCGCTGACCTCTGTGCTGTGCGTCACACTGACCCCTGAGCTGTGCGTCACACTGACCCCTGAGCTGTGCGTCACACTGACCCCTGAGCTGTGCGTCACGTGCGTCACACTGACCCCTGCGCTGTGCGTCACACTGACCCCTGCGCTGTGCATCACACTGACCCCTGTGCTGTGCGTCACACTGACCGCTGCGATGTGCGTCACACTGACCTCTGCGCGTCACACTGACCTCTACTCTGTGCATCACACTGACCTCTGCACTGTGCGTCACACTGACCTCTGTATTGCTGACCTCTGTACTGTGCGTTACATTACTGACTTCTGCTGATCTCTGTACTGTGCGTCACACTACTGGTCTCTGTATTCGGCATTGCACCACTGACTTCTGTACTGTGCGTTGTTACTGATCTCTGCACTCTGCGTCACAACGCTGACCTGGCGGATTTAAGGGGTTAGGTGGGCCAACTGGTGGCGAGTAACTTTTAAGGCCTGGCTAGTAGCTCAGGACTTGAAATTTTGAGCCCTGCTGTACATACACTATAGCATCTCTCATTGGCTGTCCCACAATATAGCAGAGTCACACTCCATCCAGGGGGGTAAAGTCAATGCTAGACACCTGGGATTAACCAGATAACTGCCACTATAATCCAGCCAGGCTGACTACAGCCCTGGCAATCACTAAATGTCTAGTAGTCACATCACAGAAGGTGATGGCGGCTACACTTTGTTGCCAGGATGCAGACAGCTCCAGCTGGCTAAATTCTTTTGTTGCTAGGGTGCAGTTGTCTCAAGCTGCCTGTATCCTAGCAACCGAGGATGTTAGGTGACAAGGAGCTGCCTGCATCCAAGCAACAAAGGCTGGCAAGCTTTATACTAAAAGTATGCTTTACTGCTCTTTCTTATCCAGCAGCATGTCCTTTCCTTTACCCCTCCATCACTTAGTATAGCCGCCCAGTACTTTCAGGTATAGAGAAGCATGCGACAGCACTGATACTTGGTAATTTGCCCAGTCCTGTCACATGGTGGCAGGGGAGAGAGCCTTCCAGAGTATTAGCTCTGATTAGAGCAGGGGGTGGGAAAAAGCTTTAACTACAAATTTTAACATGCCTCTACCTCTGTGAGTCATGCCTGTAAATGTAACAGTCTTACAATGCCTGGAACAAGGAGAGACTGAAGATAATGCAGCAATTTGGTAGTGTCCAGGCTGAGCTTATATAGGGGAAGTGATAATTGAGGTCTAGGTCACTTCCTGTGCGCCTCCTTGGCACTTTCCCGCCTTGCTGAATCGTGCCGTCTGCTCATGCGTGGGTTGGCGTAAAGACGCGCCATTGGCGCATGCGCAGTTGGCGCGGATTTGTAGCCGGTTCGTGAGGCTACGTGCCGTTGGCGCATTTGCAGATGGCACTCGACTCTTACACCTTCCTTTTTTGCTCCTGGTGGCTAAAAAAAGAGTGACAGGAGCCAAGCAAAGATATGTCCTTCTGGAGGAGGGGACAAACCAGAGGCGCAGGTTGTAGAGAAGAACTTGTCGCACTCCTTACTGGAAATCCCAATGATAGGTATGGGTGCTGGATGCTGAAATGACTGCGGATGGCGTCGCTATAACATAAGTTTGGTAGAGAAGAATCGTTGATGTTGAGTCTGATGAAGGGACCCTCCGAGGTCCCGAAAGCTCTTGTTTTTCAACTGACAATCTGTTCAATAAAATGAACAATTGATTATCCTAGAAGGATTTTGGTGAGCTGGTGACATTCTTCTCTACCAAACCAGAGGCGCACACCCTTGGTTACATTAGGATTAGGGGTTAGGGAGGGATGGTATTGCCCAGGTCAAGGCTATGGGGACTCAGTGTGTAGGTGCCGCAAGCAAAAGAAGGAGATTTTAGGCTGGAGGATGTTACAAACCAAAGGTATCCACCCTTGGGTAGATTAGGACAGCCTTTCGCAATCAGGGCGCGTTTTGGCTGCCTCAAAGTGTTGCGGTAGTGGGACTGCGGTAGTGAAGGAGAGAATGAAGCTTGAAGTGAAGGAGGCTCGTGGTTTAAAGGGGGAACTCTAGTATGAAAGATGGGCTTCTGATGTAAAAAGAAGATGTACTGATCCAAAGGGTGACTCTGATGTTACATAGTTACATAGTTAGTCAGGTTGAAAAAAGACACATGTCCATCGAGTTCAACCTATAGGAGATATGGAAAAAAAAAAGAGAAGAAAAACCTAAACAGAACGCTATGCCCACAGCTACCCCCTGTTGATCCAGAGGAAGGCAAAAAAAAACCATATAAAGCATGGTTCAATTTGCTCCAACGGGAAAAAAATCCTTCCTGATCCCATAAGACAATCGGATATTCTCTGGATCAACAATCTCTGATGCTTAATATACCTATAAGAACTCAATATCCAGTAATATTCAGTGCATTTAAGAATACATCCAGATGTTTTTTAAAACAATTAACCGAGCTAGCTAGAACAAGCTCCTGGGGGAGTCTATTCCACATTTTCACAGCTCTAACTGTGAAAAATCCTTTCCGTATGCAACGGTTAAACCTCTTTTCCTCCAGACGCAAAGAGTGCCCTCTTGTCCTTTGCAGTGACCTTAATGTGAATAATTTGGCACCAAGCTGTTTATATGGACCATTTATGTATTTATACATGGTGATCATGTCCCCCCTTAATTGCCTCTTCTCCAGAGAGAACAAATTCAGGTCAGATAATCTTTCCTCATAGCTGAACTCCTCCATGCCTCTTATCAGTTTTGTCGCCCTTCGCTGGACTTTCTCCAGTTCCACAACATCCTTTTTGTGACCTGGTGCCCAAAGCTGAACTGCATATTCCAGATGAGGTCTTACTAATGCTTTGTACAGGGGCAGGATTATGTCTCTATCTCTGGAGTCTATATCCCGTGTAATACAAGAAATTATTTTGCTTGCTTTAGAAACTGCGGCTTGACATTGCATGCTATTATTCAGTCTA